AGATTGCAGGACTTATCAGCTACGAACTAACAAGAGTATTGTCCACCAAAATGAAGCATCCTAAAGTTCCATGTTCACCAACCCATGCCAGACAAGGCAGTTTCAGCTTGCAGGAAACTCACCCACGAAAGGCACACTGCTCCGATCAAATCAAGAAGTACGATCCACACGTGTGGAAAGCGGCAATATTGCCAAGGCACAGCGGGGCTGTTCAGCTGAATGAACGTGCACTGTTCCAAGTCAACAGGCAAACTCAATCCACCGAATGCTGTGAAGTGCCCTTCGCGAACCAAACACGTATTCCAATTGAGTGGCCTATGGGACAGGAGCTCTGCTCCTTGGATCCTCCTCCGCCATGCCGCAAAAAGGGCACTTGCTTTTGGTTCATGACTTAAAGGGAAGCCGATTCTACAAGAAGGACAATAGGTCTGGTACTTAACAAGCATCAAGCCTGGCATTTTGGGTGGCCTGGCGGGCATGGCTTGAGTGGTGTGAAGGCGAGCCCGACACAGGCACAGAAAATAGGCCAGCAATTTGAAGACCTGAGCTGCAGAACTCCCCCCTCGGCTAGCACAGAGCCTGAAAGCTGCTGTCAACCTTTGCCCGTTGGAATAACTGTGCCCAGTTCGGCATGTTCAAGCCACGAATCAACCGAGCCGGCCTACTGGTGCAGCCTCAGGATCCCTTTGCTCTCTCGTCGCGCGCTTCAGCGCTGTCACCACAGTGCTTCATGTTGCCAGCCGCCAGCCCCGCGTGCCGATTTATTCGGCACATCAACACGAGACGTGCGCGGAAGCACCCCCAGCTGGGATACTTGCTTTCCCTCACACTCTTTCAGAACCAATGACTGCTCATGGGGCGCAATTCTTGACACGGATCTCAAATCACGAGGTGCCAGCATTGTGCGTTGTGAAAGCAAATCTCATTGAAAATCCCAAAGCCTAGCTTAGTATAAGCGATGTTGTGCTGTGTAAAAGAAAAACAGCTTGTTGCAGTAAGCTCAGTATGACCAACATCGGCATGCCAAAGGTGCCGATCATAGCAAAACGAGGTTGAAATGGGTCATCCTTTTCATAGTTGACAGGCAACCTTGTTGACAGAATGTAAGCCAAGCCGAAGCCGAAACAGTTGGCATAGGATATGTCTGTTCAGTGTGTGTATGTGTTTTAGGTAAGGATAATACCATGTCTTCGCTTTCAATGACTACTGGCGATGTCCGTCCTTCAATTTCTGCATCAAACCCAAGCAACACAAACACCCTCCTTCTGTGCTCGAGCTGAGCGCTGAAGGCGCGAACCGTGATTCTCCTCTCTCGAGGCTGCTGACTAAGCAAATTTGACTGCATTGTCTGCACCCTAGCACACCTTGCCTGTGCTCTTCTGCGTACCCAGTCAACACTAAAAGGACACATGCCACTTTGATCCACAGTGCACATTCCATCGCTTCTTCTCTTTACTGGGGACCTTTGCAAGCGAGATCTGTTCCAGGCCAAGTGTGTGCGCACACGAGGCGTGTGCAGAGATCCAACTTCCCAGAGCACTCTAAGGATTTCCCCCAGAGGCTTTCCAGGAACAAGCAATTTTAGTCCTTCTCTCGCCACCTAAATCAAGTCAAATTTGTGGCGACCTCGGAACGAACCGAACACCACGGAAGCGGGAGCAAGCGCCAAGTTCTGCACACATCTCCTTTCTTCTGGGGGAAACCGCATTCCACGGCCTCTCGGCGTGTAGCGATAGCGTTGCCCCTGGAGGGTGTATACACTTTCAGTGGAATTGTGTGGTGCTTGCGTCGACCAATAATATGTGTTGTTCGTGGTCTGGTGACAGTAAACATCCTTGCTACAAGGTGTTGCGGGACCATGCAATGGAGTGTGTCTTTTGGAGTGTTGTCAATGTCAAGGGGTGGCCGGATTTAGGTGATAGCATTCAACTGTTTTGCAATCCACTCCATGCAAGTGGTGCTTAGTCAACGAAGATACAGACCATTGTGCAGTGATCATTCACATCGCAAAACAAGCAAATGGCCTGCAACTTCTCACACCCCAATCGCTTTATGTGAGCAGGCCAGCGGAGCAGAAAGCATCATGTGATCAAGAACTACATCGCAAAGTGGACATGTAATGTAGCTCCGAAGGATCCCGACCGCATGACCCGCATGATGCTTCAATAAGAAGAAAAATGGTCATCTGTTCCATGCATGTCCATCACCAGGGCCGGTGCCGAAACCGGCAGAAGGAACCTGTTAACAATTGCTTGCAGCGCTCAGTTGCTGTACACCTGCTGCCTGACTTCAAGGAAAGGGATCCACCATTGCAAACCTTCATGCCACCTTGGGCAATACCTCAGTTGCACCCTTCCTTGCACGATCTCAGGGCCAAATGACAAACATCTGGACGAGTAGTTTGTACCAGTAGCTTTGATACCGCGCTGAGTTCCCGCTTCACTACACTTCATCGTCCCTGCGCCTGATCTTTGATGCTTTGCCACACTGGACAGCCAGCTCGGGCGCAGTTGAAGGATTCTGGAGAGGCTCAAGTCCCAAGCTGCATTGACATGCTCAGTGCTAGTGGCAGACCGGCAAATTTCTAATCAAAATGAATTCAGCCATCCTCGAGCTTAGGAATGCAGGCTTGAAGGTTTGTCTCGTGGTTTGTGCGCCTGCTGTTGAAAGCGAGCAGCTTCGGGCCCGAATCCTGCTTGGTCTCCGCAGCTTCTAAGTTAGAAAGGCGGCAGCGCGAAAGTGACTCGTCAAGTGCGCAGCTCCGGCTGGAAAATCGCAACTTTCAAGTACGAAAGTAGTTCGCGAAGTACACGTTCGCAGCTTCGGCTGCCAAATTCCAAATTTCAAGCACGAAAGTAGTACACGAAGTACACTGGCGAAGGCTCTGGCTGGATTATCGCAACTTTTAAGTACAAAAGTATTGCGCCAAGTACACTTTCAGAAGGCTTCGGCTAGCAGATCGCAACTTTAAACTACGAAAGTATTTCGTGAAGTATACTTTTGCAGGTCCGGATTGACAGTTGGAATCGCGTTGCTGGGTTGTGGCTAACGCTGCACGCGCAGAACTTGCTCAGAGTCAAAGAACTGCTCATAGAAACTTGTTCCGAGCTTGCGCAGCACACTTGCGTTGCACAGCGCAACTTGCGCAGAGCACTTGCACACGAAAAGCAAGTTGCACTGAACTCTTGGGCCTAGCACTTGCACACGCAAAGCAAAACTCACTTTCCATGATGCTTTCGGGCCACCCGTGGTTCTACTAGATTTGTGTTTTGCGTGTTGGGTTTAAGGTTTGCCGATCGTGCTGTTTTTAGTGGTTTTGCCAGGCTCGACGAGCAGCGGCCATGTCGACTCTGCGGGCGTGGTGCAGGCCAAGCTCCTGGATTGTTGTTTTCCGTTGGGGGGCCGCAGAGTGCTTTGACGGTTTTGTGCTGTTTGGGGGGGTGAATTGGGCTGTATTGAATAAGAGGGGATAGGCCTTCGATCAACATGTCCAATGTGGTCCTGCAGGCTGCAAAGAGAGCAGACCATAGGGTTGAAAACACTCATGATCTCTGGCTTGGTAGCCTGTCCTCGGCTAGCGTTGACAGTTCACTAATAAATTGGGGGTTCAGACCAAGTGGTTCACAAATGGATGGGCCTTGGACTTCACTGATGGGTGTGTTTAAGAGGCAAATGGGACACCAACAAAAATGTGTGTGTGTCTGCCATCTGAAAACGATCAGTCCTTCGAGGAAACATCCATCTCTTGAGATCCCATGTGGCCCAAGTAAGGCGTATGTTCTGACTGCCTGCGCCTCTCGCATCGTTTTGATATGTGCACAGCACAATCTCCGCTACTTGCCTTCATCAATCGCGCTTTCGCAACTCCGGGAGTCCAAGCTGCCTGCGGACAAAGCAAAAGCTGGCACCGTCAAACGGAGTGGGTTGCCGAGACGACGAAGGTTCACCTCTGTCGGGCATGCTTGACAAGCACCGTCGAGCGTGACCGGGTCCTGGTGCCTGATTGTCCAGAGATCAGGCACCGGACAATGTATTTGAGGCAATGCCCCATGGCTGTCAACTCAGCAGTCAAGGACAGAGCCGCTGTTCGATGTTGGGATGGAAGCGGCTCTACAGAGCTTGTGCTGTTTAATTTCTTCCATCCCCCCCCCTCTGAGGGGAGAAAAGAACAATGCAGCAGAACGTCAAAGAGCACCCAAGGACACAGGGGCCGAAGACTTCCGGCTCCTTTCAAGGGTGTCCAACCCTGGGTGCTCGTGAAGAGGCTGACTAAATTGGAAGCCTCTGCACAATCACTGTGGACGATTGCCATGTTCTTAGCAGGACACCCAAGTCACAACCAAAGCCTACTATCAATGCAACATACCTGAACCATCGGAGCGGCCGCCTCGAGATGACCCCAACTAACCGTCCGGTTGCTGTTGCTGTGGGCTTGCTACAGAAAGACATAAGGCTTTGCGTGTGAACCAAGCTCTCGGAAGACTTTTGAAATGTGGAACATCCTTCCAAAAACCTGGGCAGCAAATGTTGACATCCTCCAACACCAGGCGAAACAAGGTATTCTAAGCTTTCTATCCCTGAAGCCAAATCGCTTGCCTGAAGCCAGCCAAGAAAGCGGAAATCGGCGTGCATTCTGACTTAGCAGAGAAATATGGAGCAGCCCAACAATCCGTGCTCAACCAATAGGCCATCTCCAGTGCTTGCCGCCTACAGTGCAAGGCCTTCTGCTTGCACCTGCTTTCTGCCAAGAACATGGCGTCTCAGGGCACACCTATCCAGGCTCGGCCACGCATGTCGCGGAGCCAGGACCAGGGTGGCCAAGAGGATATATTTGGAAACAAAAGGTAGCCACGCAGTTGCACCTTGAAAGCTGTGGACCGCTCGAGCTTGTTGGCAGCTGCAGGCAGCGTGCCTTGTCTTCCAAGCTGCTTGTGTCGAGACACTAGCATAAATATGTTTTGGATGTCCTCGCTGAGCTTCGAGATCTCAAAGCCCAAAGATCACAAGACCTTGGCTGGCGATGCAGTAGTCCCAGCCTAAATGGTCCCATCACAGAAACCAGTGTCCACCAAATGGCAATCAAATGTATTCCCCCCCCCCTCCCGCCCAAAAACAGCGCAGGTAGCGCACTTCAGGATCGATGTGCACGCTCAGTAGTGGTACTCTAATTTTTGTCGTAACCCACTTCTCTAGCGCCAAATGTGACGAGCTTTCGACAGCGCAAGCAGCATCTGGGCAAAGGGAGTACTGAATGGCGAGCTGTCGAGGCAACTTTATAAAATGCTTCAAGCTTACATTTTTAGGCATACCGCATGTACTCTGGCGTCATGCGATGGCAAGAAAGGAACCAAGCAAAAAATAAATGCTGAAGTTTCTTGAAACGACCAGGGTTCCATTGACTTCTGAAAAATGGACCCCTGCTAACCTGCGGTCCACCGTTTACAATGTCAACAATCGCGCTGAAGGCCATCGCATGGACTACGCAGTCCGTCGCGAGTTGAAATGCGTTCTGAGGTTTTGGCTGGCTTCATCTTGGAAACCCCATTTTGGGACCCGTATGGATGGATCATATCCCCGAAATATGCATCCAAAAATGACGGAGAGATCCATTGGACACCGTGGTGAGGCTTAACCACAGAGACCCAGCGCCCGGGTTTCCCAAGCAAGGGATGGACTCGGCAAATTTCACCGACCGAAACAAGGACCTCCAGGACCTTGACTCGTGACGCAGCAAATCCACAATTCGCCCGCACTTTAAAACCTATGGCCAGGCCAGTCAAAACCTGAGCGACGGAAAGCCTGTAGGTCCTTCGATCAAGTCAGCGCAGCGCCCGGTTCGCCTTCACCCCAGGTTTGTAGCTCTGAGCTACAAAGCTTCGCAGCCTCCCATCACGTACTAGTGTACACATCCCCAATCAACGTGTAGAGACCAAGAACTATCATGTCGTGGGATTGGGCCGAAGCAGAAGGTGCCATGATAATTGACAAGTGAATGGAAGGGCAAAATGTTCACAAAGGCATTCAGTTGTGACTTCCGATTCGGTATGGCCACCGACAAGCAAGCCTTGCGCCAAGTCACCATACTGACGTCTGACCTTTGCCATTGTGTGCAAGAGCTCCTCCTGACAGCTCAAAGGCAATGCCAGCAAAATGGACATAGACACCCCTGGTTGGGGTGTCAACTCTTAGAGGATAGTGGCATACTCGACCTGGTGGAAGAGTCCTTGCCTTCACACATACCCAAACAAAAGGTCCAGGTGTTCATCATCGTCAATGTTGCGCTCTCATTGGTTGACTCTCAATTTGGGAAGGGGGCACAGCCAGCACGTCCGCAATGCCTGCCAACTGTTTACAATTGAAACAAGTGGCACGTGTTTCTTAGCCGCATCGGAAACCTGGTATTCAATTCACCTCTGTTCCCATCATCCATCCAGGGCACTGCTTCCAACAACTGGTGCTGAAACTTGCCAACTAAGCTGGCAAAAGCGGACTGGTGCATCTCGTCTAAGCACATTGCATGATTCCAAGGCAAAAACTGTTCTGCGCCACACCCAGAAAAACCCAGATGTGCTCAACCGAAGCAGCTGTTCAGTTTGGGAACCAAAAATTGAACAGCCTTGGCCTTGCACTCACGTCAGCAAAGCTTTGGTGTTCTTGTTGATGTTATCCTCCCCACCGCTTGGCTTTTTAGCCATACCAAACACACAAAATAGTCGAGCCACTTGCTGGTGATGCTCAGGGTGTTGCCACTTTCCGGACCCAAAGAATCGCCCTCTGATGGAACTCCACAACCCAATTAGCTTGCCGGGTCTTTTGCTTTTAGAACTTACCTCTCAAAAAAACCAAGGGAACCCTTGGCCCTTGCAAACCGCTTGGCTGAAAGAGCGAGCCGCTCCTGCGAAACATCCTGGTAGGCTGCATACTCGCAGCCACTTGTCAGGGTTCCTGCAAGAGGGGCACAAGTTCAGACGCCCCGATGTGCGTAAGGAGAGACACTATGGGCCTCCTTCCAGAAAGGTTCTAAGCCTCAGAAAGACAAGGACCCTTTCCTGCGTGGGGGGCCTTTGCTTTCTTCTTTTGCATAAACCATCGAGACAACTGAGTTGCACGGGAGCGCAGAACCGTACTCATAGAATCCATCACATAGGATGTCGGGTCTGAGAAACCCAGCGTAGCTGATGAAATGTCATACCATTCTTCCCTGCTTGTCTTAGCAATGCAGTTTCAAGGGCCTGCCTCGCAAACAGATGGCAACAACCTACTGAAAACCCTTGGCGAAGGCTTTAAAGGGATTCTTGCCTCACCTGTTTCTGGCTGGAACTGTCCCTTACTACAAAGCTTCATATGCTGCTTTTGATGTCAACCGCTGAGCAGTTGGCCTGGCTTTCAGCGCGTGACTGAGGTGGATGATTGGGTGAGTTGGAGATAGTTCGTCCAAGCCGCACTTCTTTTTTGTGTGCTTTTTCTTGCGGGGGGGGGGGGGGGGGCGCGCACCACGACCACGAACATACACCACCAGGACAAAAGCTGTTCCTCTTGGGCCGGCAACGCATGATGCACACCCCTTCGCTTGGAATCCGGCCGGCAACTCAGAGCACACATTTGGGCCGGTCAAGTCCCAAAGCAGTAAGCCTTGTAAGCTATTTCACACTGGTGTAAATGTCATTATTTGAAAACTGTTTCGCGCCTGCAACACAAAATGCGTCGAAGCCAAACATTTGCCCGCTGTATTTGCAAGCCTCACCAACGCATTGTTTGATTTCCTGATGCACACCCTTCCCCAAAAGTTGGAGCACACGTTCACGGCAATCAACTTCCACACCAGCAAGCCACTGCATGCTCTGTACCGCCCGGCTTTCTTCCACCGTCCACCTTGACATGCACGCGTATGGCCGACTTCCTCCAGGCCCAGGTCCGCTTTGGATACCTTGACTCTCCTTTTCCCGGCTCTATGTGGCGAACATCTTTCAAAGGTCTGACCGGTGAGGCTGTGAGGCTGTGCAACGACTCCCGCTCTGACGTGGGCTGCCGGATGTCTTCCACAACCCCGGACCATTCGCGCCTTCTCCAAATAGCTGTCGGTTGGCAAAAACTGTTGGTGTCCTTTTTTGGTTTCCCTTTGAATGCCAAAACGGTGTCTGCCACTTTGAGAAACTCCCCATTGCCGGTCTATGTTTGAATCTGATCTTGCTATTGATGCTGAGACCAGTTCTGTCCCACCTTGGATTGATCGTCGCTGCTTCTGCTACATTATACGCAAAAGCAAAGGCCGCAGCTGGAAGCCGCCCTCGGCGTGAGGTAATGCTTCTGAGAACTTGTGGTACAACTTGCCCTCCACTTGTCAAGGATCTTCCTCATCGGGATCAACCTTCGAACTGCACTGGGCTCGATTTGAGAGCCCAATCGATTGCGTGCAACAGTCACTCTGCCGAACTTGCCCACCCACCACCCAGCCGGCCTGGCAAAGCCAGGACTCGAGGACCCTCCACGACAATCTCAGCGCAAGGAAACCATGACAAACTCAAAACCAAATTGCCAACCCTTCAAATGGACCCACCTCACCTCCCCGGAAATCGACAACCCCTAGGATGTGGCAGGCTACAGCGGCCTGCAACAAGTTGCCGTATACAGGAAAGTTCTCACAAGCTCTACATATGCAATAGTACGCGTCCTGACATGGCAGAGTTTCACGTCTCAAAGGGTCTCTGTCATTTGCCCTTTGGATCTCCGACTTCCGAATTCGTTTATCCATCTTTCTCTGCATCGCACCCCCATGAGTGTCTCCTCTGTCTTGGGGAGGGGGGGGGTGGTCGGGGCTTCGGTCCCCGGGTCAGAAATCCAGCTAATGCCACCCCATCGTACAGTCTCAACCAACCTGTGAGCAAGTGGCCAATCATGCTTCATTAGGAATTCTATGGGTAACTCGTGATGTGTTCAACCCGGTTGATCCAGTGACAGGCCCCGGCTTCAGCCACTGCACTCCTGGCGGCAGAGTTTCTGTCCGGCTGTGGTGACAATGGATTGACAAGAATGCAGTTCTACTCATCCTGGGGGAAACCACCCTCTCAACGTGGAACCGGTCCCGAACTGGAAAGACAAGGCTGTATCCAAAATGGATTGGACGCTAGACATGGGTGGGGCATGGTTTTCGCCGATGGACGTCTGGAAGAAACAGTCTTTTTCACAGCGAGTCTCTACAACAGACCTGACAAGTGGACGATGGAACACGTGGGCTCAACAACCAAACGAGTTCAGAGTCCGGGCAACGTACCGGAACCTCTCAGACTGCGGTGCAAGATTGGGCTGCTGAGAAACTCACAAGTCCTTGTGTGGACAGCATGTTGCTATCATCAAATCAAACATGTAAATATGAAAAGATCATGAGGGCCTCAGCACACGTTGCCAAGCACAACACGGGCGCAGGACAAAGGATGCCACGCTTGAGCATGCACACACATTACAAATCAGCCACACAAAATGCAAAACACATCTAGCCCAAATTGGCCCGCTGATGTGGGCATGCTTCACCAAACTGAGAGGGTCAAAATGTTGCTCTCCTGAAGTCTCTGGCCAAGCGTTGTTAGGAAGGCAGAAAGCAGCCAAGGAATTGCAACGGGCGGGAAGCGGCAGAGGCAGCAGCCGGCAAGCATGGGAGGTAACAGGCAGCATGTTTCTGGAACGCGAGGCACTTAACAGCAAGCTTGGAAAAGAGCAAGGTCAAAAGGGCGCCATATACCACCCTGCACAGATGGATGAAACAGCCGACAAAGATGCTTGGGCCGCCAAACATGGATCCAAGTAAACTACAAGAATTCAGCAACCGAACATTAGGGATCCCTATGAAAGATACCTTCATCAACACCCCCCTAGTTTCATTCATGGCCACCGATCACTACAAATGGCCACTGGGCGAAATTGCCAAGGAGACAAAGGGTCAGATGCCCAGGCCCTACATGGCAACGCCGTGTTACAATCGCATCGCTTCAATCACTGCACGCTTTGTCTGAATGACTTCTGCACCTTCAGTTGCGCATTTTGTCCATCAATCTGGCTGATCGGCCAGGGGTGAGTACTGAGTGAGTACTGATGACAGCTTGCTGCAGCGCTTGATTTGATACATGTTGCACAATATCCACACCACATGTTGAGCATGTGAGAGCACTTCCCGTTCAACAGCGCATGTACAGGTGGAATCAAGCTGTCCAACTCTGCGGCAGAGATGTGCGATCCCTCTGTTCACATGAGCCAAAACTCTGCTCAGGCCCATCTTCAGCCAAAACTCTGCGCCTGGCCCGGTGTAATTAGATGGTATCCTATGACACCTGCCCGGGGCTGACGGGAAAGGAACATGGTGAGCCGCGCGCGCATCCAGACTGTGCGCCAACCCAACCCGCTCCATGGGTGCCTCGAGGACGCACAGGCCAGCACGCATGGCCAGCTCTCGGGCCCGAGAGCGCGCATTGGCCGCTTCCATCTCCTCCGAGATCTCTCCAGCGAAGTCGAGCGTGGAGTGCGACGCTGGAGCTCGACATTGCAAAGGGAAAGGGGAAAATGTTCAGAAGACCAAAACCCGTAGGCCATATTGTGCCATGGCAATTCCATTTCGCCACAGTGCATGCTACCGCTGGGCTATCACATGAACTCTGAAGAAGCGATTACACACGGACAAACAAATAACAGGGCATCACTTTTCTGGCCATGTAAGATTTGTATGGTCACCCAGTATCATTCAAAGCCGCGCTTCTTATAAATGCATAGAACGCGGACGACCTCTCCATAAACATGCAGCGACAGCCAGCAAAGACATGTTTCAGCCATGGTGCTCATTTGTGCCTGCTACACTTGACACATCCAGCTCCGTCCAGAGAATTGGAGAGGTAGACTCACTTGGAACACTGGTGAGGCTTACCCGTTTTGGACGAAACCGATCCTGGAGCTCCCACCCCGGCGGCCTTTCACTAGCTTCTGATGGGGAGGACATTTTCCTCGGCGCCAGCGTGCTTTGCCAAGTCCAAAGCAAACGGCCTTCTTTGCGGCAAAAAGCCGGACGCAAACTTGTGCAAAGGTCTATGGCATATGGCTTTACTACATTTAGATGACAGGTGAGCTTCTATCTCCCCTCAAATGGCCCCCCTCGCCCCCCACCCCCCTGGATCCCTGCACCCCGAGAACCAAAACCACTCCACAGGGCACGCAGTGTGTTCCCAAACCCCAAACCAACCAACCCCTTCCTCAAAACATCTAGGGAACTGTTTTCTCTAGAAAGTCAATGTTTCTTGCAGTGAAAATCCGTAACTCTGTTTTCAGCAGTCAAATTATGTTTTGCCGCTCGAAAACAACAAGTACGTATTTTGTCCCTACTCGGCCCATGCTTTACCGACATCAGCGACGTGCTCAAGTAATGCTTGGACGCACTAGCTGAAACACATGCTTGCCAGCACTACACAATTGGAACTCTACTCCCGAACCACAACAATGGACAAACACTGGTGCCGTGTCAGCACTATGAGGACAGCAAAAACGTCGAAACTTACTGGGCAGAGCAACTAACGAGGAGGACACCTCCGCGGGAAGCGTGGCCTGAGCAAAGGTGGACTTAACCAACGTTTATTCCTACAAATCCTTCACCCATCCAACCCACCCTCCAAACCATCGCAAATGCATCCTAAGACCTCAACCAAATCTAGACCAGCCATACACTAAGATTCAATCAAGTGTCCGCACCAGTTATGCAACAAGAACGCCCATGAACCAATCGGAATTACCTCATCCCTAATCAACCCTAAAACTTGCAATGTGCAGGATTGTTGCTGTAGCACAAGCAGGAAACCCGCTGACCTAAACCCGCCTCCTTAAACCACCAAGGCCCATGACCAGTTTTGAACAAAGCCAATTCGGAACAGCATTTCTTGCATTTTCATCCTCCATTCCAGCTGGATGCTGCAAACCAAGAATGCTGCAACATGCTGCAAAATGAGGCGACCGGAGAAAAAAGAAGAAACCCTCCTGAATCAAAACTCCCCCCAATTTTGATTGAAGTGAGGGTTAGGCTTAGGCGCATTTGTTGCATGCCGCATTCAGCCTCGTCCCACCAAGCAGCTCGTCATCGGGTGAATCATCCCGAGAGCCAGTGGAAGTGCTGGTAGCACTTCCTGCAACCATTCGGC